GGTATGGCCCTCTGGGCCTCTGCACAGCTTTGATTTTGAGCTCGGTGGCCTCGACCCGGTCGCTGAGCAATGTGAGTGGGGCGGTCTGCCCCCTTTTCGTTTTGGTGAAGCTTCACACCCTGGTCCTCATCGTCTCACGATTGGGACATGGAACCTCAACGGCGCGCTGGGCAAGGAGGACTACATCATGTCCCTCCCCAACGGCATTTGGAATCTCAGTGAGACTCACCTCACTCTCGCTGGTCTTCATACCTTCAAGAAACGTATACAGGGACGTGCGTCACGGGGCCATCGTCGCCTACAAGTGCTTCCTGGTGCCCCAGTACCGCTACGTGGAGGTGCTCGAGTTGCGGGTGTTTGGTCAGGTGTGCTGCAGACCAGCTCAGTCCCGTGGCCACACCAGGAGTATCAACTGGGCCAAGTTCAACTGGCCTCCTTCTGGGTAGGAGCCGTCCATATCACTGGAGTCAACCTGTACGCTTGGCCCCGCTCGCCTACGTGGCCATCCTCGAAAGAGTGGACCAACGACTTGTTGGACCACATCACCCAGCAGGTGGTCCTTGGCCGTTCTGGTCCCCGTTTTGTCTCTGGGGACTTCAATCACCCCTCGGAGCTCCTTCCTGATCTTGAACTTTGGCATCAACAAGGATGGCGTGAACTACAGGACCTGGCCCAGGCCCGCTGGAATCTACCTCCTCGTCCTACTTTCAATGGCACGTCTTGCATCGACAAGATCTTTGTCAGCCCCGAGTTGGCGGCCATGCTCTCCCACGTGGATCTTGCCTGGGAGGGTACGGGACATGCTGCACTTTTCGGAACCTTTGAGATCCCTGACAAATCTCATCGCGCCCTCGCCTGGCCCAAACCTGGCCTACTGCCCTGGGACTCCTTCAACGTGGAGGAATGGCAGCACTCCAACCAAGAGAAGCCAGCACTACCGCACGCGACTGACCTCACCTCAGCCTACCAGCACTTTGGCAATGCCTGTGAGGAGAGTATCACTCCTCATCTGGATGACTCCCTTTCTTGAACTCCTGCCGTCCCCGCCCTGGGCGTCCTGGAGATCCTCAACTTGTCAGCGACTTTGTGAGCCGCGCTATCATCCACTGGTACCAGCAGATGAAACGCCTAGCCACCAAGGGCAACAAGAGCCATCCTGAAGCTGTTCTACATCGTTCAGACACCTGGCGAGCAATCTTGCGTGCCAGGGGATTTCAGGATGGTTTCTCTACATGGTGGTCTTCTCGATCCGCAAGGTTCTCCACTTCACCTTCCGGCACAACCCCCGGCTATTGATGTTCTGCTGCTGGTCAAAGATGACTTTGAGGCCAACTTCAGGCAGTTCGAGTCCTGGAATATTCGTCAACGATCCCAGGCGCTCCAGCTTTCCCTACAACAACATCGGCGACGGCTCTTCCAGTCGGTCAAAGCCCCCTCGCCAGGTCCTCCGCAATCGCTTCAGAAGACTGTCTCGGCCACCATCCTTGCAGTCAGTGATGATGGCACGGAGATCCATACTGAACACGACCTCGCTGCCTACGACCACGTCCAATGGACCATTGCGGACAGCCCGGCAGAAATCACCCTGCTCGCTCCCAACCATCTCAAAGTGGAGTCGGATTGCCTCCTCTTCCCGGGTCAGGAAATTCAGGCGTCCATCGAGCTCGTGACCCCCAAGGACGTCTTTGCGGAGCTCAACAACTTCTGGTCCAAGCGCTGGGCTAAGATCACCTGCATTCCCGACAGCACCTGGAGACGCATCACGGCCTTCTCGCGTGCTTTTCTGCCCAGCAAACCCTTACAGCTGGAAGACCTTACTGCGGTTGACTGGTCCCTTGGCCTGAAGCGCTTTCATGACCGCTCGGCTCGAGGTCCTGATGGATATGATCGCCTTGACCTGCAACGAATGCCTCCTGGCTTCCAGGCTGCCCTCCTTGACCTCGTGAACCAAATAGAGCGGACGCACTCCTGGCCCCGTCAACTCACGGAAGGCCACGCCATTGGCATTCCCAAGGTTGAAGATGCACGGACGGCTGATGCCCTTCGGCCGATCGTGGTCACTTCGGTTGTCCACAGATGTTGGAGCTCTATACGTGCCCGTCAAGTGCTTCGACATCTTGAACACATGGCTACCTTCTTTGCCATAGGCTTTCTCCCGGATCGGGAGGCGGGTGAGCTCTGGATGATGACCCAAGCCCTCATTGAGATCAGCCTCATCACGGATGCTGACCTCATTGGACACAACACGGACATCTCCAAGGCCTTTGACTGCCTCCCTAGGCCCTTGACCACTTCACTTCTTCGACACTTTGGACTACCTGACCGACTTGTTTCCACGTGGCGGGCTACCCACAAGGCTGTGCCTTGAGTTGCACTGGTATGTTGGCCATTGACCTTGCCTACCACTTCTACATGATCCACTATGCGCCTCGTACCATTGCAACCTCGTTTGTGGACAACTACAGCCTGCTTGCCAACTCCGTGGGAGACCTGGTACATGGCCTGGTGGTACAGAGCTGCTGTGTTGAAATCAAGATCTTGACAAGACCTACTGTTGGGCCCTTGCCTCCACTAGCAGGCAGCGCTTAGTCAAATTTGGTCAAGCAATTCGCACTCATGCTCGAGATCTTGGTGGCAACATGACCTACCAACGCAAGCGGCTCACTTCCCTGTTGTTGGATACAATACGATCGCTGGAACCACATTGGCTACGCCTTCGTAGGCTACAGGCTGCAGAACCTCTAAAGTCTCAGGTCATCGTCCAGGCGCTATGGCCCAAGATCTTCCACGCCCCGGGAATCAACTCCTGCCCGGGCACAGTCATTCAGAAGCTCCGGACCACGGCTGCTAGGGCGCTCGGTCATGGAAAAGCTGGTGCACAGCCCCTGATCCGGCTGTCCCTATTGGGTTCAACCCCTATGTGTGACCCTGGCCTTTTTCGACTCTGGGCCACCTTCCGTGACTTCCGACGACTTTCCTTCAAGCAGCCGCTCCTCCTTGAGCTTTGGCAACAATTTATGCAGCAGTTCACTGGCGTCTTTCACCCAGGCCCGTTCAGCGCCCTGTTGGAGCAGTTTGACCTCCTGTCCTGGCGTATCCTGGAACCACCCTACATCGAGGACCACGATGTCTTGATCCATGATTTCTTGGAGCTCGATGAAGCGGACTCAAGATGCGTGGCACCAACATATTGCCAGGTCGGTTGCCCATCGCAAGGACTTTGAGGGCCTCCATGGCCTTGATTGGCAAATCCAGGCCAAGTTTGATACTTCACAAACTGGACTCTGCGCCTGCTGCCAACTCCCAGACACCGTGGAGCACCGATGTACGGCTTGCCCTGGGCTTCATCATGTTCATGACCTTCACGAATATGCGGTGCGGCAATGGCCCCGCCTTCCGCGTTGCCTCACTCATCATCTTTGCCTACCACGCAATCCACATCATGGTGCTCTCCTTCATGCTCATGCTGACCCACATCCACGATACCATCTTGTGGAACCGTGTGAGGTTCCTGATTCCATTGATGTATTTACGGACGGGTCATGCTTTCGGCCAGAACATCCTCTTCTGGCTCTTGCTGGTTGGGCAGCAATCACATCTCATGATGGCCGCCTTATTTCTCATGGTCCACTTGCGGGACACCACCAATCTATTTCCCGAGCCGAGATCACGGCGATCGTTGCCACACTGCACTGGGTTGTTGAATTTGCTAACAGTAGCAACCTCACCATCTGGTCGGATTCAGCTTTTGCCGCGACCCAATTTCAGGAGCTTCTTCTCCAGCAGGAACTTCGTCCTGATGTTGTACACAGGGATCTTTGGCAGGATGTTCTACCTCTGCTTCGTCTTCGTTTAGGCAGCACTGGAATACAGCACATTTCTGCACATGGAGATCTCAGGAACAGCACTGGCCCCCTGCAGGACTGGACCATTCAGTGGAATGCCCGTGCAGATCACTTTGCAAAGCAAGCAGCCTGGACGCGCTCCTGGAGCTTTTTGCAGGTTTACGATCTGTATTTGCAGCATGAAGCGCAGGCTCTTGTAGATTTGGATGCTGTGGCCTCACTTCACCTTGCGATTGCTTATTTAGGATCCGTCAATTCCGAAAAGGCCCGAAGAAAACAGTTTTTGCACCAAAAAGGGCTTGAGCAGGCTCCGGGAATTCCTGCCCAGCCTGCGCAATGCCTCGAAACCTTTTTTTCCCCGAAAAGGAGCTTGCGGAAGCTGGAGCTAGTGTGCCCCTTCCGGCCTCCTTGGAGAACCCTGAGCCCCTTGATGGCGTTCCTTCTTTGCCTCCAACGGTTTGGAAAGCTGGTGAGTATTGGCTGGATTCGGTTCCTTTGGAGTGGCGAGGACTCGTTTTTGCTTCACCTACGATTGCAAGTTTTGAGCCGAACTTTGTTGTGACCCTCCTTGAGTGGCTGTTCTCTGTTGACAGCTCTGAAGCTGGGCTCATTGAATTCAGCTGGCTTGAGTTGGCATGCCTTGTCCACAAACAGGGCATTGCTTGCTTTCCGGTGCCTGCCATTAGTTCTGTGCGGTCTGGCAGACTTCTAGCGACACCAGATCGCATGGGGCAACTTTGGCCAACAATGTGCAGTTGCTTAGGTCGATCTTTCGGACCTTGGCAACGCTTTTTCAGGTTGATCTGCCTGAGGTAACGATTAGGAACCTCCAGGCGTGTCACGTCTTCATGCCCTTGAAGGGCACGCAGCTCAGACTCCCCACCAGTCTGGTACAGGAGACTAGGTTGGAGTTGCAGCTCTTTGCCTCGACTCGGCCCTTTCGCTCATCGAATGACTTGAGCCGGCCGTTCTGAAGAGACAGGATTAGCGCGCTGCACCGCCTTGGCTGTGCACGCGCACCGCACGCCGTGAATGAATGTTGAACCACCGTCAGTTTGGACTCCCCATTGGACCCTTGAATCAGTTTGGACCCTATAGGAGGAAGAAGCGTTCCCAAGGCCCGGGTCACTCCTTCCGCTCTTGGGGCCCCCGGGCTTGGCCAGCGCGGTCAGCATGGCACGGCTGGCCTCCGTCGCCTAGCGCAAGAGGCTATGGCCATGGGGCACAATGGCGATCCCATTGGGATGAACATCCACTTGCCACCTGCTGTAATGTTCACCAGTACAGGGTTTTGACCAGCCATATGGAGGTGCAACTCCTATAGGGGGGAAGCACCCAAGACAAAAAGGAGGCACTACGGGGCAGCATAAGCACCCAACATAACAGCAAAAAGGTTGGCTCATTTTATTTTATTGATTTATCTATTTTGGGGGGTGACTGTAGCTGCAAAGTTGGTGCGGAGCCCCTATGGCTATGTCACAGTCTCACTGGGATCACAAGGGTTTTCGCTTTGACCTCCCGTCACACTGGCTTCTTGCAATTCCGAGCAAGGAGTAAAACCACTTGGTCAAGCGCATTTTCAGGTATGGGGTTTGAAGGTATGGATGATTCTGGCTTCTTACATGCCACCAACATAAGCTTGTAAGGTATACAACCTCCAGACCTCCAAAACCCACACCTGAAAACCGGCTTTGACTTTTCGTTTGCCCTGGAGTGAGTGGGTAACCCTCCGTTCCGTCCTTTCCGAACAAACGCCCGGCCGGGAGCCATTCGATGTCTCCCTCGCGAACCCAATGGAGAATCATCCCCTGTGGCTCACAACACAAGTTAAACGGCTAGGTTGCTCCAAGCCTCCCTGAGCAAAAGGTTGTCAGACCTTTCATAGGTTTAAATCAACACTTCTTTGGCTGCATCTTGTTCATCGGAATTACTCCTTTTTGTGTGCTTTGGAAGGGAAGCTTTAAAAGGAAAGCCACGAACATTAGGGGACTTTGCAGGTCCACATCCCCAACAAACCCGACACGCCGCCTGGTTTCCAACAGGTCGCTTTTTCGGGGTCCGGGCGCCCGTGGGGCAGATCTCCGCGAGGCCCAAGCCTGGAGGTTGCAAGCAACCCCCCCGCTTGCCGCGGGAGGAGCGAAGGGGCGCATCGTTGTTTTTTTTTTCTTGGTTGGCACCCCCCCATCCATCCATCTACTCATCCATCCCCCTTCTTGTGGTGTGGAAACCACAAAGCGAAGATCGACATTTGCAAATCTGCCCGTTCAGGACGTCCGCTGAATTCCATCACCGGTCTTTCGTAGTGGACCCGAAAGCCTTTGAGCACTTCGGCAAACATTGACCTGCCCAAGAAAAGGCAATGCAACTCACAGACCTGCGCAGCCTCTCTGCTGAGAGAGTGGCCTTAGAAAGAGACTGTTCCAGGTTTCTTTTGAGAAGGCTCGCCCCAAAAGCACACGGCTGAGCGCAACAAAGCAATGCTGTGAATGCAGCTGCAACAGATTGCAGTACTAAGCTTTGGTGTTGTGGCGTTCGCTTCGGCAACTTATGATGCTTGTGGACATGCAGCTAAAAGAGTAATCTTCTCTACCTCTCTTCTATATGCAAATCTGTGCACAGGCCAGCCAAGAACATCGGCCAACTCCGAATTTCAGGGAACCAACCCTGAACCAGAGGCGCCAACCTGGGATCGGCCAAGACCCCCAAATTGGCACGGAACTCAAAACCGGGTGCCCCCTTTAAGGGCGAGGTGCCTCCAGAAATGGCAAACCCCCAGCCTAGTGCCAGGCCCGGGTTCAGCAACGCCGGAGCCTGATCGATCTTCTCTTTTGGGACGTCAAGGAGAGGACATCAAACAATTGCAAGCTGCAAGGCCAGACGTTGACACAAACGCATACGTATCATTTTTGTCATACGTATCATTTGTGTCAATCCCTGTGTCCAAACCCTCCAGGTATTCAGGGGGTGTTTGCTGGAAGAAGGGAAGCCCCTACAAAGGGAGCGCCTGAACCAAACAAGTGGGGGGTGGCATTAATCAGGGCCGGACATTACACATGTTTAAGCATGGAAACCAGCTTAAGGTTCGGTTGACATGTTTCTTCGCTGGGGTGCCCTCTAACGAAAATAGGCACACATCTGACACTCACGCGATCGTTGATCCTGCAGGATTGGGGCTAGTTGTGGAGTGAAAAGGAGTGGTGTCCCACGGGCGGGGGTTCTCTGGAGCCACACAGGGTGGACACTGCGAGGGCAGCCAGGGCATGCGAGCTGGGTGTCTCTTTCTGTTGATGGCACCTTTTGTGGGGGTTGTTTTCAAGGAAACCCAAAGGAAGCCACTCATGTTGTGGGCTCTCGCATCAGACAAACGCGACTGTGGTCCAGCTGGTCAGCAGCCCTGGTTTCTGGCTCACGAGAAACAGCCAGACGCTGACAAAACTAAGGACTCCCACCTTTTGCGGACGACAAATGGGTTTGTCTGAAGATAGGGCAACCCCCAAGATGGGTAGTGTCCTTTTGAATCCCGAATACGAAGCACGTTGAACTGGCCTTTCTGCCAACAGTTGCAACCAGTATTTCTAAAGCAGCGAGTCGGCAATTAGGGCAGAAGAAGTGCAAACAAGCCAAGGGGAGCGTCATCGCCCAGCCGCATTGCCGTTGACACTCGTCCTTGTGGACCAAGCCGAAATCAAGCATTCAAACTAACTGACATTGGACATCACGATGAACCCGGCTTTCTTGTGACAACACCGCTGGTGCTGGTATTTGAGACAACTTGTCTAAATTATCGTCAATGCGCAGGTTTGCCTTGCCGGCTTGCCGAAAAAACGTCTCAAACCCTCAAGCTGCACGCCTCGACGCAACACACAGCCAGCGTTTCAGTGTTGATGCCCACTTTGCCAAGCCGGACACACGGTTTCCCGTTAACGCCATCCCAAAAAAAGACACGGTAGATTGGCCCTGCTATGTGCTTAGCTTCAAACCCGACGTGGCCCCAAGAACCTGGGGCTATGGCCAGCCAGTTCGTCAGGAGCAAGCGACCCAAAACCTCCTGGAGAGTTGAGGGAGGGAGTGGCCGCATTATGTGTCCCTTTCTCTCACTAACATAGCACTAGACAGGGGCACCTTTTAGAGAAAATTGATCTTCCCACAGGTGCTATCAATTGTCAAAGTTGCTCCCCCAAATGATGGTTTAAAGGCACACCCCCAGTTGCTGACTTTGACAATCCCAAAAACCAGTCCAAGTATTTGATGACCCAGGAGTATCCCGACTGGATCGGTGGAGGCCCAGGAATGTTTGGGAGGAACGGCCCAGTTTGCTCGAGGAGGTGCGGATGAACCAGCCCTGCTCAGCCTCGGAAAAGAATTACTTGTTCTCCATTCGGACATGGGAAGATGTCGGTCGTTTTTATTTGCATCTGTTTTCCAATGAGAGAGCCATCTGTCCCTAAATGAAAAACAACCGCATGGGAACATTGCCCGCGGCCTGGAGGGGCACAGGGCTCCCAAAGCCGAGTATCAAAAGCAGCTTGCTGCGGAAGTGTGCATCCGAAAGTGGCCGTGGCGTTCTGGGTCAAAAGCTTTGCGGCACCAGGCACATTGCTTGCCGGCAGCAGATCTCGTCTTGCGTCAAGCTGAAAGCCAACTTCACCTGTCGCTGTCACATTGGCCCTTGGACCTTGTCCAACTGGTAGTGAATATGCCTTTGTGGTGGAAACCCGCGGATGGCCATAGCTATGAGGCTTTGATACATAAATCTTTGACCGTGGCGCCTTTGGAAAGCTGCTCTGACCCTTGCAAAATGGGCAGTCTGAAGGCAGCCAATGGACCACGGTCGAGGCCGGAAACACCAAAGTCAGTGTTGCACACCCACAAGAGATAGCTTCTTGGAATTCTAACCGCGCGCGGAATTCGAAACCCCTTGATCGGCGGGCTTGCCCTGGGCATGTGATCTGGAGTAGCCATTCGAAGATTTGCCGCTTCTTTCATTTGAACTACCAAGGGCCGTGCTTGGGCACCAAGGCACACAAAAACTAGACGTAAACCTGGAAAAGTTTCTCAAAATGGTGGACCCTCCCTCTTAGTTTGTATCTGAAGGCAAACCAGAACTGAGCAAGCCTCGAAAACTTGGATGCCGGGTCCCGGGTCCCGGCGCCCTAAGGTTTCTCCTGGCCCTTGTCCATGCCCGACAGAGCAGCAGCCAGGCGGCAAAGCCGGGGCCTTAGACGCTAAAGGTGGAGCTGGGACATCTTGTTCAACCTATCTCGGCTTTTGTCCAAGTAAACATGATGTGGAGACGGACTCAGTTGCCCACGGGACCCAAAAATAAAAGGTCTGGACCTTGACTTAATTTGGGCCAAAAGTGGAAACCAGAAGCCAAAAGGTCGGCTTTCGGATTTCTGATGTCCAGCGACTTCTGATGTCCACCAAAGAGTCCCCGTCAAAAAATATTAAAGCCACCAAATCAGGCCTGATATGCTGTCCATACGTTTTGCGTGCAACCGTCAGGGCCCCCAGCGGAGCCGCATCCGCTTTCTGCACCAAGGACTGTACCTGACAAGTCGGCACTCTACCTCAAAGAAATCCTCCTTCACTTGGTGCCGATTGAAGCGAGGTAGCACCAGTGCCCAGCTGAGTTGTCTCAATAGGCTCCGCGAAGAAGTTAAAAATGCCGGAAAACTGGCACGCCGACAAAGGAAGCAAGCATCCATTTCTTTCCGTCAGGGAATTTTAGGGGACCGAACAAGTGTCGCACAATGCGAACCACAGGGTGCCACAGCTCACTTGCGCACAAGACTAGCAATGAGCAGTATGGTTTGAACCCTTGGGCCCGTGAATTATCCTCAAAGCAACCGATCTCTTTGTACAACTCCGCACCTCACGAGTTCATGGCATGCCCGGTCCACGCTTCATGTTGGGAGCTTTTGGCTGCATTGCACCCATGTTGCGCCAAAACTATCGGCGCCATTGCGGCGTTTTCATGCGGCAAGCTTTGAACATGCTTCCAGCTCATTCCCCTGAGTAGTGAGCTCCGAATTTCCCAGAGATGCCAGAGTCTTGCGCTCGGGAGCTTCTCTCTCGAGTGCCGCGCACCACCGCGCGCGCAATGGAGCCAATGTCTGGGCCGCGACCTGCGAAGGAAGTTCGGAAGCCCGCAACAAAAGGAAAACGTCACGGCCTCGATTCCCTAGGGTTCAACCCCCAAAGAAAGGTTGATCCAAATTGGATGATGGCAATCCTGAACGGAACACAATGGTGGTTATATTATAAGCCCCATGGTTCTAATGTTGTTTGAACGCCCAGGCCTAGATGTTCCCCACGCAACACCGGTAAACACATCGGAGCCGGGTTTCGCCGCTTCCGAATCCGCTCAAAGATGGGCAGAGACCTTTTAGCACGTCCGGACCTGTCGCCTCCAATGTGTCCCAGTCCAAAGACACGATCTCTTGGATACGTGAAATGCATCAAACAAAGGAACTCATGTCTTGGTGACTCAAACATAGCGGTGGTTTGCTTCAAATACCTTTGATAACATATTGAAAACCTCCGGACCCTAGTGGAATCCAGTTCTCACATTGCGCAATCTCATCGCTCCATTTAGAGGCACCAGACCTTCAGGTCGCAGTTGTTCTGATGCAGCTACTGCCAACAGATCACAGCCTGAGCCATTTGGTGCATTCACAACTTTCCTACCCGGATGGCCAGAATCTGTCGCTGCAGCGCTCAAGATCTGTTTACTTTTGCCATGAGACTATCACCACAATCTCAAAACCAGGGAGTCGAACTTCAATTCGACCCGGGGATGGGCAAATTGGCAAGCTCACTCAGGAGTTGTGGAACTTTGAAAGAAAAGGCCAAATGGATGTGTCTTCTTTTTGGGGAATTCCTTTTTGGTTGGTCATTAAAACCAAAAGGAAGCCACCCATTTGAGGGCCCCCTCCTATCGACACAAACCCAAAGAACTTCTGGGATGTTGGGATGTTCGCCGCGGAACCCCTCGCCTGCAAGGTGGAAATCTGTGTTCCGCCGCCCCTGCGACCCATGGATGGTGGGAAACAACAAAGTCATAAAAAACAGGTAGTCTAAGAAGTCTACTCAAACTGCATGGTAAAGGATCAAAAGAGGGGACAGCTGCACCTGTGTCTGGCTTGGGGATTGTCCTCTACCCAGAAACTTTAGGCCGCCCCACCCCCTTTCCCCGCGCACCAGAAAAGTTCTCAAAACCCTTCGATCAGACGCCCTAAAAGGGTTCCACCAGAACCTGAAAATGGGCGACCCCTACAAATGGTATGTTTCCCCTGGCTGTTTCTTTTGAAGCCACCACAAAAAGGCTTTCTCAACAAGAGATACGCCCATGGCAACTTGTGTGTCAGGTTCGAAAAAACACTCGTGGCCGGCCTGGATCGCATGTCAGAGTTCAGCCAGGCCCGTGCAACAACGGTGAAGGCTTGTGCAAAAGTCCAAACACGCTTGGCGCTGGGGCCTGTTCTCAAAAACGAACATGCGCATCCATGTAAATGATAATTCTCAATATGGGTCTGTGCCTACTGAATTGTATATGTGCTCATATCTGAGCATAAAGGCAAAGTAGTTTAGTGAAGCTTTAGCACACCCCTACTATACAAAGCAAGCACAGCAGCCTCGATGTTCCTTGCTAATTACGGCCAGTTTCGCGCACGCCAGGCTCATCCCCGATAGGCAATCAGGTCTTGAGAAGCGCCACCTCGCTTACTTGTCACTCACTTTTTGTGTCATCTTCGCAACACACAAGGAGTCCATTCATATCTCAGCCGAAAATGCTGGCTTGCACGCGCCAAGGCTTAGTCATTTCTGTGGCAAAAACAAATCTGCAAATTCCACAAAAATGCCAAAGGCTCCCCAAGCAAAGGACATACATCATGGCTAGTCGCTCGCACCTCGAATCGGTGGAATCGCTCGAAAACCATAAAATAGGCCAAGCAAATTTGGTTCTAAGCTTGTTTGCCTCATTTGTTCTAAGCTAGGCCCACCTTTTGAAAGCTTGACTAAATATGGGCCAAATCGGGGAAACCAAAAGGCTAGAGGGTCAATTCGCTTTGGGCAAGTATAGCCCAAAACCTGGGGGAGTGCTCAAGGGCGTCTCACCTCACCCGGAACCGCTGGTGAGGCTACCCTCCAAATTGGGTTGCCCGTGCATGAGCGAAAGGTCTACCCTTTTGTAGGTTCAATGGACCCATTTCTTTTCAACAGCTCCAGGGGGCTAAGGTCACGCCAAAGACCAGCACTGTCTCAGCTCTCCCACCAGGCTCCAGGCCCACTCCTGTCGCCACCTTGTGATGCCCCAAACAAAACATTCCTGGAAGCGTCTGCTGGACCTATTGTCATGTTGAATGCGTTGACTGCAAAGGGGCCCGTATGGTGTTGTGTGTTAGCTAACGGCGTTGTTAACGCTTTCACGCGTAGGGCGTGTGTGTTTTCCCAACCTGACTTTGTCAGCATGGCGTCGAATCGGGTGAAGAGTGTCTCGGCCAAGTCTCAAACATCAAGCATTGAGACCGATTCGTGCTCAGTAATCGCGACAGAACACTTCTTCATCTTAAGCTTTATATCCTGCAACCTGCGCCAACCAGGCTGCACTGCGTGATATGTTGCGAAATAAACCAACAGCACTCGCCATGATCGCCAAAACATGCAGGGCCATCGGCGAAGGCCTATGCCCACTATCCTGCATTCTCGAGTGTGTCTCACTCAAAACATTCATGTAGCATGATTGTCATTAACGAGGGCTTCTATGGGAGAACCACAGCTCTTGCACGCAGTCATCGTGAAGGAAACACTGCCAGAACTGTGGATGCACACTTGACCCTGTAAGAGTAGATGACTTGACCGTGCCCTGCTCGCTCAATGTGTAATTTGACGCACAAAGCAATGAAACACAGCTCCGTTTTGACGGCTTCTATCCCAGATGGGCCCATCTATTCCCCGCTTCTCGCAGAGAGGCTTCCCTGGGACTCTCAACAGCGCTTTTGGGCATCGTTCACGCCGAAAACAAGAAATTCGCCCCAAATAATGGTCGTTCGCGGTTTCACGGGAGCTTCACGCTCCTCGTGATTTCCAAGTGTTGTATTTGTGCAAGTGAGAGCTCAGCCTTGTGCAAAATCACTAGGCAGGCAATCCTTTTTGCGCGCCACCATTGCTGAGGCGCAGCAAAGGCCATTGTTAATTGTTCGTAGGTGCATACTTGCCTTGAACAACAACCATTTTTACGAAAGGCAGATGAAATCAGGCCAACGGAAATGCTGCTGGCATGCCTTCCAGCTTTCTTCTTACCCGCAAGGAAGCCTCCAAAAGATTAAGTTCAGCTGTGCACGTTCCCCCCCCCCCTTCTGAGCCAAAGGCAAAGGTGTAATCAACCCCTGCAAATGAATATCATACAGACATGAGCATGTGTGAGCGTGAGCGCTTGACTGTCCCAAGTGCAGCACACGCAAACAGGAGGCCTGAAATTTACCAAACTTCAGCAAAGGCCCTCCTCTCCCTAAATCGGACGGAGTAGCTTTCAAGCACAAGATGACACTCATATGGCATACGTGACGAGTGGATCATCTACATTGAGAAGGTTGTTCCTACGGGCCACCCCCGCTAAGCCTGATGGCACAAGCAAAGAAAGGCCTTAATAAACTTAAGCATGGAGCAGCAGTATTCCGGCCTCTGTATGGATTGTCAAGAGCAATCAGGCACGTTCCATTCAAAGAATTCGGGACAACTGGAATCCAGCAGCTATGGCTTCTGAAAACAGACACCAGCTAGCGCAACGACCTTTGAAAGTCACAAACAAAGGCCTTTGAGGGAGTCCTAAAGACCTTTCATTCAGGGTATGTCCATATATATATAAATAATATATGCCATTTCACTTCACCCCTCTTAAAGGAATCTCATCCCCTATATACCTATCTCCCCTCCCTATATATATATATATGTATATATGTTAAATATATCTCCCCTCTTCCCAAACATTGGGAACCAAAAGGCGATGGGAGATCCACACAGAACCCAAACTCCGTCCATCGGCCCAAGGCTGTGGCGTCTCGGGTTCCGCCAGCTCCTCAGCTGCTCTCAGCTTTTCAGCTCCCACCCCAAAAAAAGCGGCGTTCGGGGCCTCAACAAAAAGGGGCGAAACAAAGGGTGGCCCAAAACCAAGGGCCACCACCTTTCACCCCATTCAGCCTCAGCCAAAAACAAAAAAGGGTAAAACAAAGTGGTTTCTCTCCAAAAAAGGATACTGGCTCCTTTCGGGCTTCTAATTACTGGGCAAAAAAAAACACACACAAGCAGCCTTGAGGATGGCCTCCAACAAAAAGCACAACCTCGAATTGGTGTCCGAAAATGGGGTGATGTTGCTTTGGCTTCCATCCCAAAGGTGGTACCAAGCCTGAAAGAAGGGACATGCTCAGGGTCCTTTCTTGGGAATTGCCGCCCCGCCCTTGAGTTAGTTTGGAAACCAAACGGACCCCACCAATCGATCCTAGGCTGCCAAATTCTGAACAACCCCAATTTTGAATGGCTACCGGATGCACTTGGTGATTTTGAAGGGAGGCCCCCTCCAAAAAAGTCTCTGCGCCACCCGTTGACTCAACGGGTTCTACAAGCGTAGAAGCCACTATTCCCACTTGACTGAGTCAAATCTTGTGCACAAACTGGGCAACACAAATTTGGGCCTTGGGGCACTGCGCACAAATCCACAAGGCAAAAGATCAAATGCTTTGCTTTGGACAAAGTGGTTTCATGGCTGGCTTCGATTCTTCGGTTTTTCCTGGAAAGATTCTAACTCAGGTTGCTTTAAAAAGGGAAGCAAGCCATATGTTCATGGGCAGCCGGGTGACCCGCGTCTTGGGAACTTAAATGAGAAGCCTCCGTTCCCTACTTGCGTCCACCCACCACCAAAATGGATGAAATGTGACATATATATATATATATATGTATACATATATGTATATTATATATATATAGATCTGTATTCCAAAACGAAGCCAAAAAACGATTTGACAGCTGAGGGATTCCTTGGCGAAACTCTGCAGGGTGCCTATGGCTGGTAGCCTCCCCACATGAAGCTTGCCTTCAGCCCCCTGTGCCATAAGTGACCTTCTGGACAAATCCATGGCACTGGATAGAACAAAACGTATTAAAACCCCATCTAAACCAGTGGAACCCATCTATTTCTACCCCAACCAACTGGAAAACAGCATGCCTCCCTCTGCAGCCAGGACTCCACCTCCCTGCCATCTCTGGCTGCCTCTCCACGAAAACCACTAAACCACTGGACATGTGCAGTTTAACCACTTGGATGCCGCCAACGACGGGTTGAGATGAAACAAGCAAGGCCCTTGAAAGGGCGTCCTAAAATGGCACGGGTCTGAAAAGGGCTAAAAATCCCTGTCTTCACTTGTCGACTTCAATCAGAGCAACTGATCCAAGTCTATTGACCCCAAGGGAGACTTGAACCCAGTAGTTTATTTCCCCAAAAGGAAAGGCCCTGGGTTTAACTCTACCTTGGGGAAGTGAAAACATGAGACTCTCGTCCAAGTGGATTCAAGTGGATGTTTTTGTTGAACACACGAAGCCCACACAGGAGCAACCCTGGCCACTTTCCATCTGGGTGTCTTAAAAGGACACAATCCACGATGGGTAATGCCCACGTGGACGGAGCCCCCCTGACAAATCCACCTGTAGTTTCATAGTCGTGTTGATGCGACTCCGAGTGTGCCCATTGTGAAGTCATCCTGTTGCTTTCTTCAGAGGATGGCATGAAGGCACTTGAAAACATGCAGCACACATCTGCACTGCTTCCGCGGCTCGCCAAACTGAATGAAGGGAAGAAAGAAAGCTTGGTTCGTTTCACGAGCCAAGATGAGCTTGCAATAATTGATGCAAACAAATGGAAGGCAACGATTGAGTCGTATTGCCAGTGGAGGGATCCAATGGTCGTGGCTTGTTCCAAAGCTTCGTTGACACTCGGGAAGCTGTGGGATTCATTGACGGATGGGCGCTCGAACGTCCGTTGGCCTTTGGGTCTGTCAACTTGATTCTTGAGGTGTGTGTGTGTGTGTGTGTGTGTGTGTGTGTGTGTGTGTGTGTGTGTGTGTGTGTGTGTGTGTGTGTGTGTGTGTGTGTGTGTGTGTGTGTGTGTGTGTGTGTGTGTGTGTGTGTGTGTGTGTGTGTGTGTGTGTGTGTGTGTGTGTGTGTGTGTGTGTGTGTGTGTGTGTGTGTGTGTGTGTGTGTGTGTGTGTGTGTGTGTGTGTGTGTGTGTGTGTGTGTGTGTGTGTGTGTGTGTGTGTGTGTGTGTGTGTGTGTGTGTGTGTGTGTGTGTGTGTGTGTGTGTGTGTGTGTGTGTGTGTGTGTGTGTGTGTGTGTGTGTGTGTGTGTGTGTGTGTGTGTGTGTGTGTGTGTGTGTGTGTGTGTGTGTGTGTGTGTGTGTGTGTGTGTGTGTGTGTGTGTGTGTGTGTGTGTGTGTGTGTGTGTGTGTGTGTGTGTGTGTGTGTGTGTGTGTGTGTGTGTGTGTGTGTGTGTGTGTGTGTGTGTGTGTGTGTGTGTGTGTGTGTGTGTGTGTGTGTGTGTGTGTGTGTGTGTGTGTGTGTGTGTGTGTGTGTGTGTGTGTGTGTGTGTGTGTGTGTGTGTGTGTGTGTGTGTGTGTGTGTGTGTGTGTGTGTGTGTGTGTGTGTGTGTGTGTGTGTGTGTGTGTGTGTGTGTGTGTGTGTGTGTGTGTGTGTGTGTGTGTGTGTGTGTGTGTGTGTGTGTGTGTGTGTGTGTGTGTGTGTGTGTGTGTGTGTGTGTGTGTGTGTGTGTGTGTGTGTGTGTGTGTGTGTGTGTGTGTGTGTGTGTGTGTGTGTGTGTGTGTGTGTGTGTGTGTGTGTGTGTGTGTGTGTGTGTGTGTGTGTGTGTGTGTGTGTGTGTGTGTGTGTGTGTGTGTGTGTGTGTGTGTGTGTGTGTGTGTGTGTGTGTGTGTGTGTGTGTGTGTGTGTGTGTGTGTGTGTGTGTGTGTGTGTGTGTGTGTCTGTGTGCGTAGGCCCTGACGAACAATACCAGCTGAGCCAGGAATCAGAGTCCCCAACTCAAAACTGCCAAAAGTGTCTTTAAACACTGCTCATGTATTCAGGCACTTAGGAATTCACTGTCGAGACTGAGATGTTTGAAGTCTAAACAACCATTCTTACTCTCACCAGGAACATGCCAGTGGTCGAAACTCCCCATGTGGGTAGTCATCGTTCCCTTGGTACACCTTTCAAATTCTTCTATTGGTGCCTCCCCGGGGACCAGATGATACACCATGATGCGCCGTTGCCTGCCCCCGTGAAACTTCGACATGGGCTTCAGAGAACTGCTCTGTTCAAAGAGGTTCCTCTCAATTTGGAGCGCTTTTGGTTTTGCCGGACCTTAAATAAACAGGGGTCTGGAAAAATAAACAAGACCTCCATTCCATCTTGATCTCCTCTGGACCAAAATTTAAACCATATGTAGGTGTGCGATTGTTTCAGGGTATCCTTTTGGTGGTCCGAGGGAAATCAAAGGAACACCACCATCTTGATCCACTTTAGGTCCAGTCGTCACTCAGTGCCCGGCCTTTGGGGAGGATGGGGGCGACGGCAAAGCCTCCTCAGGCCTCGGCTTTGCTCCAAAGTGAGTCGCAGCTTGGAGTACGCCGTTTGACCAATCGCCTCTAGGGAGCCCTGACTCCCAAGGAAATCAGGCCGGCCGTGAGAAGCTTGCAAAAATGCTCACTTGCTCAGAGGAAAACCTCACTTGCCGTCCAATCTTCGAGATACTCAGACCCAAGAGCTTGAAACATGCAGCGCGAGTTGTTTGGCCGCGGTGTTTGGGCCCCAGAACACAAATAAAGCGCCGGGAGGGCCTCCATGGACTTCACTGGAATCTGGGGCCCCGGCTCTCCGATGAAGGCCGCCACACTCAGCTGCGGCCTATGTCTCTGCCGCAGGGAATGCGGCCGCAACGCAAGCGCCGCCTTTTGAAGGGGAACAAAAAGGGCCACACCCACATACATAAATATACAAATTCGTAGGGAACCGGGTGAAGCTGTTGTGGTTCGACATTTAGGGCACAGTGTTTGTTGCCGTCCAAAAGACCTCACGCAATTGGCCATGTTGCCACTTGCTCATACTGATGGAGCAATGCTCATGATGTCGCAGTAGCCTTGTGCGACTCATGGCAAGGCTCTGACATGGCTCTGCACGCCTTTTCAAGATGGCTTGAGAAAGGACAGAACGCCAACCGTTTCGAGGGGGTCCAACTTGGTCCAACATGCTGTGATGGAATGCCATGTACGGACAACATGCCGTACACATGCATATGAAACGTGTGTGCTCGAATTTTCGTACGAGTGTGTACGTACATATATATATATATACATATATATATATGGTGTTTTTAGGTGTTTCCTATGTATCACATGACTAGACCTGTGACGCATGTTTGCATATATGTACAAACATGCACGACAAATCACGTATAAATGTAGATGCTGAGCGCTCTGAGCGACTGGCATCTCCTGCGACCGCGTCTTGCCGATCCTTGGCCATGGGGTGCCGAATCATTCTCCGAGCATCCAACAAGGAAACACCTGGTGGTGTATCCTTTTTTGAGGGCTTTACGCAGCCACCGGATTTCCCCTCCAAAAGTTACATGTTGCTGAGCCATAGATGGTAGCGAGCTTTGGGGTACGACCGCTTGCCAAGCATCCTCTAGTTCAGACGCCTGGGGCTGAAGCATTTGTTTGGTGATTGTGCACGCGACCTGGTTGCCTTCCCAGTGAGTGTCCTGTACGGTGATTTCGGGCCAAGCAAACGGAAGGTGAGGGACCTGGCTATGTTCTGGGATTCCCCGAGGCCTCCCTTTTAAAGCCCTCAAGGAAGGCAGGCGAGACATACCAAACCCCTGCAAGACTGGTCGCCGGTGTTCCAATTTGCAGAGAAGGGATCCCCAGTTCAGCTGAGCAGTCCTTTCATGCTTCCTTTTCTTTTGTGTCATGGTTCCCGACTGCTAGAAAGCTCTTGGTTTGTCAGTTCTGATCCATGTTGAATTGTGGTGCCAAAAGCTCAACCTTTGGTCGTTTGAGGGAGTGAACACATCAGCACCTGACTTGTGTAATACCACACAATTCAAATCAAACCCTTCTCGTCGTCGTTTTTTGTGGTGGCCGCAACCAGCGAAAAGCGGAGACTTGCGCACCACGGCCATCCCCAAAAGCTATCTTTGTGTATCAAGATCAGCCTGGTGCGCAACAACAAGAGCATCTCATGGGTGGAAATACAGAAACGGTCCGTCGATACCACCACCACACACACACACCACCGCATCAACATGGTTCAGAAACAAGCGTCCAAATTGAGAGGGCGTCTCCACTTTTCTGGACGGAACGATCTTTAGGACAAGGGGAAGGGGCAAACAAGCCAGGCGGGAGGATGCAACCGCACGGAGACCTCCAGTAGCTTCTGCTCTGGCAAGGTCACTGCAAAGGGGAGCTGAGAGCTGCAAGTCCATCTGCCCGAAAGATGTAGCCTGCACTCTTTGCGCAGATCACTCGAGCTGCAGATACTTGACATCGACTCGCGCCGCATGCGCAATCGTAGCCCTCCCGTATGTGCAACACGCCTCGAATGATAGCAGCCTCAGCTCCACAGCACGGGACTCGGCGCCAAGCTCTGCACATTCTTAGCATGCGCCACAAAAGTGCTTGTAGGGCGATGACTTTGGTGACGACATGTGACGAAATGGAGAAAGGAAACTTCACAGGTGAAATCGGTCGCAAAACAAGACAGCAGTTGGTTCCACTTGGTTTCCTTTAAAACTTAAAACTACCCAGAAAGGGAACCCTCAAAAAGGACAGGTCCATTTACGACAATTCCAACAGCTGAACAGCAACTTGCCTTCAACACCGGAAGTGGCCGCACCATCCCGCTGCCACCCCTGTTTCCCGCACTCAAAAACAAACAGGTGACAGGGTGGCAGCCCTGGCAAGGAATATCTTTTCAGAATATGCTGCCACACCGGAGAATGGCCAGGTCCGCGTTGACACGACATGTCGATACCTGTCCTCACGTGGAGCCTCACAACCTCACCACAAGTCGGGCTCAAATCAACGAGCATCTGATGAGGGTGGCGGTTCCCCTGATGTGCATCTCCACTCCCCCTCAAAGGAAACGCCAAGGGTTTCATCAAAGCATTCCATTCCATAAGGCCCGTGACAGGCCGCCTGGTGCATTAAGCCAATTTGCGAGACACCAACCATCGGGGCGTACCAGTTCTCCCTGGGAAACGCGTTTCGCCCGTGGCTCATCATGGCTTTGGGCTTTTCTTGGCTTCCGGACCCCGGCTGCGAGCCGGCCCGGCTGAGCCGCGCGGACCGGGAGGGCCTGCGACAAATAAACCAGCACGAGGCTGCAACACCTAGGACTCCCTTGCGGGAGGCGCCCTTGGCCAAAAGACGAACCCAACCCTCCCCAAAATGTCCCATGTGAAGGCGGCACGAAAGAAAGTGAGCGGAAGACACGAAAAAGGGATCCATCAAAGAGTCCAAATCCTAGTTCGGTGGGGCGAGGCCATCTCCGGTCAGCTTGACCAACCTCGATTCCCAGGGACCTGTTGTGATGCATTTGGACTTCAAGGTTCCTGCGTATCACAATTATACATTACATATATATATATAACATTATCTATACATAATATATACATATACACACACACATGCACGTGCATGTGTGCTGTTGTTCAAACTATGTGAGTCCCTTCCCGACAAATGTGAAACAACCAACCTGTAAAACCAAAACCCAGGGCGTTTGCTCTTGGCACCTCCTGCGCAAGCGCTCCGCTCCCAACAGCTGCTTCAGCGAGTCTAGCACCTCGCAGGGAGGCAGGGTGTGCGGTGCTGGAGGCGGGGAGAGTGGATTGGCAAGAACGAACCGAATGTCCAAACCTTTGGTTTGCGACTAAAATGCCTGTCCTAGAACTCAGGACGTGAGATTTGTATCAAAATGATTTCAACTTAGGACTGGATTTTTGTGGGGAGAGTTGATTGATTTGGGCTGTGAGAAGTTTCGATTGGGGGTCTGTGTGGTGTTGCCATTCGTAAGGGGCTGGTGCCATAAATGGCAGGTGGTAAAACATCTAAATGGGCCGGCGGAATCCGGGCAAACTATTGCAATTGGGCGTGTGTTTTTTGCTGAGCGTTCCCCATGTTTGGCGTACAAAAGGAGCACCATCCAAAATGCCTTAAACAGGGCACATCCAATTCACAAGGCGGTTCGGAAAGGAGAAGGGATTCTGCGTGAGCTCAATCGAAATTCGGCCAAGCCTGTAACTGCAACATGTAACTTTACGACAGCTCAACGTTTCTGTTTTTAGACTGGAACAAGTGGGGATGTCTTTTCGAGGGCACCCTTTTTGGAGTGTGTTTGTAAGGGAAAACTGCTGAAAAACCACCTGTTTTGGGCTTGCCCTATTCAGAGGTACCCAAGTCTCACATGACCAGTTGGCAAGCACAAAGCCCCGGTGCGAAGGGGGGAGTGCTTGCATGCTGCATCAGGCCTAAGTCGTCCCAGACACGGTTTTTGATGCCTATTGCTCTATTTAGCCTGGAAATGCAAAAACAAAAGCACATCAACACAGCCGCGACCTTCCAAGAGTGTGAGTTGGTACCCAAATGGCCCGCGCAACAGCACTTCAGGAGCAATCATTCCAAGCGAACATATATAATATGGGTGTGCGTGTGTGTGCCCCTTTCAGCTTCGCTTGGGGATCCAAAGGAAAACTGCCTATTTTGGAAGTCCCCATATCTCAACACCCCGGACCTTCAGCCGCTCCCATCTCCCAGCCCGCCTCCCCACGCAGGCAGTTGCGGACCCAGGCCTCCCGATCCAGTCCCAAACCTCAAAACCCAAGCTTGACACCTGGATCCATGGGTTTTCAACTTCCAACTTTCCATTTTGAGATTCAACCAGCAAAACCTCAAGTTGATTTAAAATTTAAACTGTGAAGGTCTGACTGCTTGTAGATCCTGGGGTGTGTGTGTGTGTGTGTGTGTGTGTGTGAAAGTTGAAATCATCGATCCCCTGGCTCGGCAGGCTGGATCTCATTTAAGTGTCTACCTCAGCTTTATATATGTTTCGATCATAGCCCTTGCTTCGTGAACCCTAAAAGTCGAAATTAAACAAAATCAGATCCCGGCTCATACGCTGGATCGGCAGGGCGGGGTGTGTCAGGAATGGCCGGTCTCCAGACCGGCCGTTGCTTGCGCCCAAACATCTGTGGATTCACGGCACATTGCCCACATTGCACCTTGCCAATGCCAACCACATCTGAGGGACAGAATTGGAACCTGTTCCACTCGCCACAAGTAAATCCCAGTCAGAGTTGACCGGCAGGGAGTCGGCTCGAAAATAAGCAGCTGATTGCATTGTCAACACCCGCTGTGATATTGCACCATGCGCCAGCATGCGACACAGCACATGTTGCCTGGGAGCCAACTTGCCCCAAATGTAAACACTGTGACACGTGCCAAGTAGCGCGTGAATATTCACAAACATTCATGGGGAACACCCTGACAAACGTTTGGTGGACACAAGGGACCATATGGCTGTGGGTCAAAAATAGGTACCCAAAATGGCGCCTTGGCAGATGGAAACAAATACTAAAACCTGTGGTCCCTTGGTGGTTTAATTTTGACCCATACCCATTTCAGTCATGTCCACCAAAGATTTCATGCTCCAGACCGAAGTCTTCCTCGCCTCGCAGGCGGGGTCCTCCCGGGTCAGTGCCGACAGTACAGCGCCCACGAAGCTGCCTGGGGGAAACATGTCAGCCGGGATGTTTCGCAAAATCAGGGAGTCAGGGACCCCTTAAAATGGACAGCTTCCCTTTTTGTCCTTCTTTTCAAAACCATCTTCAAGGGGAACCCTACCCCCAAAAGGTATCCAACCCCCCTGTGGCGTCTTGTCTAAAGCCCCGAAATGGGAGGAACTCAACCTCCAGTTCGCGCGACCTTCCCGGCCTTCTTGAGGGATCCCGCGCAGCACCTCTCCGATCGAATCACGCGAAGGACGAGGTCAAAATGGGTGGGGCTTAAAATCAAAGAACTGGGTTGCGCAGGTTTTCGTCTTTGGTTCCATCTGCCAAGGCGCCATTTTGGTACATGTTCTTGACCCACAGCCAAAGTTATTCTGTGGAGCATCCCCATTCTTGACTCTCCGGCAAATTGAGTGAGCCCCCATGTCCCTCCCAAATGAACCAACTGATAAGCTCGATCGAAACTCAGATAGGGGGAAGAAGCAGCTGTAGAGGTCCTGGTCCCAAATCAGCTGCTTGTGTAAATAAGAGGGTCACGAAAGAGCGGTCTTGACACACAGGAACTCACGTATATAAAGGAGGAAACCAACGACTTTATCTATTCTGTTTTGCTGTTCCATCTGCAGTCGGAATGTGGCTGAGCTGGTTTTCAATGTGGCCTCTCCAGGTTCAAAGGGGGTTCAAGAGGGCTTCAATGGTGAGTGATCCAGAGACAGGCTTCGGTTTCGAAGTTTCCCCTTTCTTAGCCGTACATGCATCACCCTCTGAAAGGAAACCCTTTCAAAATGGCCAATGCTGATGATTCGAACATCCCAAACCGAAAAGTCTATCGGCCTCCTGATCTTGGGAACATAGCCAGGTGGAGTCCACTGGTGAGTGATTGGAGCCAAACTGAAACCAGCGGAACCCATCTACGTTCGACCAAACGAAACGGGTCCAAGCACTTCTGAACGGGAGAAGCTCTAGGGAACTAGGAAAAGTGGAGGTGTCTCTATATATATATATATACATATATATATATATATATATGCAGCAACCCCCCTCCAAAACCCAGGTTTTGAACCTGGACAATTGCCAAAATCACTGGAAAATGCTAATTTTGAGAAACATGTGTATTTTTGCCTCTGCGAAACGCGTATTTTTAAGTTCAAGACCGCTTTGCTGACTTGTGGTATTGAAACACTTTGTCCCTATTGGGTGCTTACTTACGGTTGATTCGGGAGCTGGGTCTTCCCAAGATGCTCGAAATCTTCGTAGGAGAACTTTGTAAAGGTCACTTGTTACCTCGGCAATGATTGACGAAACTGAATACATTCTGTGCGCCCTTCAAGAAATATCCGCGAAGAAAGTTGGGAAAGTACTCTACCCCAGTAGTTGGATCTATGAGTTTCTCGTTGCATTTTGCTGCGTCCTCAGCGGGCCTTGTCGCACAGATTCTACAACCGTGAATGTAATCCAGTCCCTTACCAGATCTTCATACCGAAGCCAACTAAGACGGTCGTCGTACGTTGGCGGCAATTTTGCGTTCATCGAAAGTTTAATGGTCTCTTCATGGGAACTCACGCCGTTATGACGGCTTCCAAGGAAAGCTGCTGCGTGCGGTTCTGTTCCATAGAAGTCCTCTTCACTCGACATCCTACTTACGGAGCACTGCTCCGCTACCACAGCTCCCTCAGAAAACTTATGAGACCGTAAAGGCCCAGTACTACGATCTTCATCACAACCAGAACCTCCCTTCAGGATCTGAACATCCTAACGGCGGAAATAGATCCAAGACCTTCTTCATGTTTGAACACGGAGACTACGAAGGAGAAGTAGGACTCTGGGTAGAAGATGAAGAAGGAGCAGAAGGCTTTTGTCCATTAGACAATGAAGCAGCCTTTTGGCAGTTGGAAGACCATGATGCTTTTGTTCTCGAAAGATTCCAACGTCGGACTCTCAAGTCCGCCACTTTCAACCCTTCAAGAAACCATAGTCAGGCGGGGCAAGGCCAACATGGCCGATGATTCCACCACCGATCAAGCCTATTGGGGTAAGAAAGGCGGACCGCAACCTTTGTACCAAAAGGGAAAAGGAAAAAAACCTATAGCAAACCCAAGGATAAAGGAAAGGATTCCGGCAAGGACAACAAAAGGTAAAGGAAAAAACAAAACGTTCGCAGTGGACCACAGCGCCGATGCACAGGAAGCCACACAGCCTCCTGCCGACATATCGGCAGAGCCTTACCAGGATGATTGGGGCCAAAGTGTCTGGTGGTCCTCTGAATGGAACAGTGGTTCCTTTTGATTGAACCAAAACGATGGTTACATGGCACATCTAATCGAATCAACTGTAGAAGTTGCTATATAGAAGTACGGTCACCCAAAACAGCCTGACCTACGACATGATTCCGCACGCGACGCCAAATCGAGCCAAGCAGGCCGATAATCCAACCCGTGTCATTCTTGACAACGGTTGCACGAAGACCATGGGCAGTTGGTATGCAGTGGGCAGTGGGTATGCAGTGGAGAGATTCTTTAAGGCAATTGAACAATGAATCTCCTCACCGGATGAAGTACGAGTAGATCTCGTGCAACACAAGGTTGACTGGACTCTCCGACTGTTTTTCAACACTTTACCACCTATCGATGTCCTTGAGCAAGGACAAGTTCCGATTTCGCGTGGCATTGATCAAATGCGGAACCGCCACGTGAGGGTTTAAGATATTCCTCGATGTGACAAGATTACACGCAATGCATTCGGTGTGACTCGACAACCCATACCGGTGTCCAGCAGCGGCCACGCAATGTTTGATCTAGCACCTTCTGTAAACAACACGACGCCAGGACGGCAAATGAGGCATTCTTCGGCGACAAGATCAAACCTTATGCGCATCCATCACTGCTTGCCGCAACATGTCCGGCCGAGGCAGCACCAGAGAAACATAGTTCCAGCGCCAGCACTGGCGCATGCAGCAGAGATAACGGAAACCATTGGACACACCAACAACGACTATTGGACAATCAAAAACTCCATAGAGTTCATGTGTCCACGAGGAGATCATTGTTAGCGCCTGGCACGAGCAAGACTTGTCCCATTGCACAGACACACAACTCTACAATCAGAGAATAACAAAACGATTCCAGATAGATAGAAAAGAACCACTATCTTTTATTGAAGATAACTGGCGAGCCAAGGCAACTTCGCCAAAGACAACGCCAGAAATGTGGAAAGATCCACAATATTCAAGTTCTCCAACAAACCACTAACAGCAGAGCAAATTCACATCGACAAACCAGCAGGATCATACCGGCGCCAGGCCGGCGCGCCGCTGAGCCAAGAGATCCTACTGCGCAAAAAGAAGCAGCGGCAGATGCTCCACCTGCTGCATTACCACTTGCTCTCAAACGTATTCATGCACGACTTTCAATACCAGAAGAACTATGAAAACTCCACCTGCAACATCATCACATGTCAGGGGAGCAGCTCAGATTCAGGACTCGCGCGCTGCAAAGGAGACCCATGACCTCTACGACAAGATCCGAGCTGAACGCGAACCTTTTCAGAGGGCAACCATAGCTCGAGCAGAAACCTTTGGCGAGTTGACATGTATTGATCAGTTTCAAGTTGCTTTAAGAACCGATGAACACATCAGTGTTCTTGTAGCCCTTGACGGAACCACTGCACTTCTATCCACAGAAGTAGTAGAAAGGACAACTAATGTCACCACTCTTCCTTTGCCACGGAACTATTTTGATCAATATCATGTTCAGCTAAAATGTGTCGTTGAAAACCAAACATCACAGATAACTGAGAACTTCCTTCAATCGCCTTGGCATTAGGCCTGTCTCCTTCGGTCCCACACCTTGGCCGAACCAAGCTGAGACAGCGGTCCGTCTTATGAAGAGTCTCACTTCAGGCCATAACCTACAAGCAACTCGTGACCGCAGCAGCAACCGCAAGAAACCTCTCCGTAAACATCCGGAGGAGCCACTCCATTGGAACTAGCATTCGGACGCAGGCCAGCACTGGACGTAGCAACACCACCACAACTCATTTTTCCAAAAAACGGAAAAAGAGTTGACTGCTGGACAGATCCGACTACTTGCGCAACAAGCTTATCAAGAGGCCCGACAGTCAGAAGAGATCTGATGGCACAATGGGCAAGATTGACGAGGAGTACAACACGACGTGCGCCAACACTCGCACCAGGGTTCAGGACCTATCCTTCGACAATCAGGTAGATCCACTCCATATTCGCGATTCTGAAGTAACCAAACTTCAGATGGCAATGAAACAGTTCCTTGGAGGAACAGAGCTTGACATTGAATCGCCATTCACAATGACGCTAGAGGATTGAGGGACCTCTGCATACCTCACACACCTTACAACAAGTGCATCATGTACAAGCGTAAAATCGGCATCCACTCACCGTTGACACCACCAGATGACGCTTGTGTGTTTCTGCAAACATACGCCGGGTAAACTTTGGGTCTTACCAGCACACCGATGTGACTGGAACGACTCTCATCCATGGCAGTGGCACGTGCCAGTGTTCTCACAGAGCGGTGGTTCAAGGAAGCGAAAACGATTCGGCCAACGCCAATCGACCAGCAAGGTGATCAGAACGGAGATGGTGGCAACGACCCACCTCCAGACCCACCAGCGCCACCACTGGGAGCGACAAACCGACAAAAGGAGTGCCTCACCTATTGGTTTGCCCCGCTCATTGGGGCTCTCTAGCTCTCAAATCCATTTAGATCATTGGCTCCTTGGCCCCCACGGCGAGTGAGTCGCCTGTGTCGGGATGTAGGAGTCCTAAAAACCGCGAAGCATCCAGTGCTGAGCAAACACCCGCAACATCTGCAGCCCCCAGGTCCGGAGGAACACGTCTGATGTGCGGCACGTCTGCATTCCAGCCCCGGCCTGTTGACGCCCAACCTGCCAGGGCTGGGACAGGCAAGATGTCTGGAGCATTTGCGCAATCTTGCAAAACGCGTCTTGGCGTGAGTTGAAAATGTAAGGGCCCTATCCGGCCTGGGTCGCATCTCGCTCTTGACTGCAGAAAGTGCACATCTTGGATCGGTTCACGTAGTGAACTCCGCTGCTCTTGGCCTGGGCCTCTGAGAACGAAGTCTGATAGGTGTTGCTGACTTCATCGCTCACAATTCCACTTTGAGAGTGGTTCAGGAACGAATTTCTGAAGCCGCGCAAAGTACCGTCGCAGCAAACGGTGCTGCAACGGTGCTGCCCTTGCTGATCTCTTCCTGACGAGATGACGTTGGCACGGCACAGACTTTGCGCATGGAACAATGAATTGCGTGGACAGTGGCGCAGCTCAACAAAAGCAACTCTGCTTGGAGGGGCGTGGCCCGGAATTTGTTGCCTCAATTAGAAGATGGTCTTGCTCACAAAGCGAACCAGGCTGGATTTTCTGTCACTTGCATTGAGGCAAGGCTGAGTGTGGCTTGGTAGAACGGCCGCGGGCAAAACTTGCGCAGTGGACACGGCTGAAGCCCCGCGTCCCAACGCTCCAGATGTCCTGGCGAAGCACTTGGTCCTAGCGAGGCGATCGGAAGTGGTGGAGGAACATTTGAGGAGGATGATGCTGGTACTGAAGGTCTTGCTTCCTTTGGGCCATCTTTAGTTTTGTGTTTCTTGTTTGATGTACCTGCTTCTTGCATCTCGTCGTCGTCATCTTCAGGTACAGGTGGAAGTGAAGGTTGCTTTTGCTTACGACAACTGTCGGCCGAGTAGGAGGCTTTGAAGCATCACCCCCCAGCCGATTGAGCCGACTAGTCGGGGAAATTGGCTGCATAGCCGACGAAGGTTGTGGTTGTTGTGGCTCTAGAAGGCCGTGGCACACTGATTCAATGTCGTGTTTGTGGTTCTGTCGTGTGTGCGCGAAGAACAAGAAGCTGTGCTGAACCTCAGCGGGCTGCACTGTGTAGAGACTAATGGGTCTATCCTCAATATCTCTTGGCACAGTAAATGAGCCAGTGTTGCTACACACTTTCTGGTCATGGGTGAACTGCTTCCAAAGAGCTTCATCAAGTACGTCTGAATCTTCGTCCGTGTAGCGACGGGTTTTATGAGAATCAGAGCTTTCAAATTATTCCTGATCTTCAACTGGTTCCTCGGAGGACTTTCTCATCTTCTTCAGGATCATCTGGTTGTGACGTGTCGTTAGATTCTGACGGTTGTGAAGGCAGAAGGCACCAGTTGCAGTAAATGTTGGCAAGTTTAAGTAGTTAGTCAAGCAAACACTCAGCAAGTCAGTTAATTAATTAGTCAATTAAATAGTTGTAATGAATTTGCTCTAAAGCCAGTTCGCCAGTTAAATTGGCTAATCAGTTTGTTATCTATATAGCCGCCTAGTTAGTTAGATAATACTTAAGGTATTCCCCTAATACTCCCTTTCCTTTACTAGTGAAATATTTCGGGAACATTGGGGGGTAGTGAGGAAACACTAGCGGTATACCAAGAGAATACTTAAGGAATACCAGGGCAATACTAAGGGTATTCCCCTGGTAATTCCATCCCTTTACTAGGTATACCAAGAAACTGCTAAATTAACTAAATACTAGGGCAATAATAGGGGAATGCTAGGGCAATCATAGGGCAACACTAAGGAAATACTCAGAGAATACTTGGGCAATATCAAAGGTGAACACTAGGAGAATACTAGGGGAATTCTGAGGGAATACTAGGGGTATACCAAGATAATATGTAAGGAATACCAGGGCAATACTAAAGGTGTTCCCCTGGTAATTCCATCCCTTTACTAGGGGAAATAGCAAGGGAATACTATGGGGTGTGAGGAAATACGAGGGGTATACCAAGAGATTACTAAATTAACTGAATACTAGGGCAATAATAGGGGAACTCTGGGGCAATCATAGGGCAATACTAAGGAAATACTCAGGGAATACTAGGGCAATATTAAACGTGAACACTAGGAGAATACTAGGGGAATCCTGAGGGAATACTAGGGGTATACGGGTATACCAAGATAATACTTAAGAAATACCAGGGCAATACTGAAGGTATTCCCCTAGTATTCCCCTTCCCTTACTGGGAAATACCCGGGCATACCAAGAGAATACTAAAGGAATAGTAGGCCAGATACTAGGGAAATACTCAAGGAAGACTAGGGGAATACTAAAGGAGCATGCTAGGAGAATGCTAGGGGAATGCTGAGGGAATACGAGGGGTATAGTTTCAAGCTCAATTTGTCTGACCTCTCAGGTTTCCTGGCTAGGGCACTAGGGCAATACCAGAGGAATACTCAGAAAATACTAGGGGAGTAATACTGAAAAATAAAAAACTGAAAAACCAAGGATTTGGG